GTTCCCCCTCTGCAGAATGGGGTGTATCATGCCCAGTCCCAGGACTCTGTGGACCCAGCGGTGTGCAGTGTGTGAAGCACTGGGCTGGGGGCCTGCAAAAAGCAGGTGCTGAGTAAAGCCTGGCTCTTCGTTTCTTTGACATTGAACAGAGGATACAGGATACTAGTAAGACAGGGAACCAGAGAGCTTCACAGGATGGGGAACATAACATATCCCCAAGGGGGCCACACAGAGATAAAGAACCCTGGGCAAGGAAGGTCGGGGCAAGAGGAGACCCTGCGCCTAAGCTGCAAAGAATCGATGAATCACTTTATCTCCAAGCTGGGAATCAATGACTGAGCATTCTTCTTTAAACATCTCCCAGGCTCCAGTTCTAAAAAGATAGGAAATCATTGTCATTAAAAGCTCAAACTGTTTCCACTTTCTCCATCCACACGAAACAAAAATTCTGCAAAATCTAATGCAGTCAATTCCAAGTTCGAAGCCACTTCAGTCTTGCCACTGGGCAAGACCCAGTTCTGAGCTGAGGTCCAGCTTGAGGCTTGGCGGTCAGGTGAACAGGAGGGCAGAGTGACAGCTGAGAAAGTGGGGAGCTGAAACCCCCCGCCAGATGGAAGAAAACCTGTGCAGCAGTGGGCGCAGCCGGCTGGCCCTCCTCCTCGGTGACAACAGAGTCCTTAGTTTTCCTCCTCCTTCAGTGCTTCTCAGAGGAAGGCCCCCCTCTTCCTCTCGACCCCGGGTATGCAGTGTCCCAGGGTGCCATCAGGGTCCTGCTCTCAGCCTACACTCATTTCCTCCATGATCTCATCCAGCATCTTGACTTTGAAGCCATCAATATGCCAACCGCTCTACAGTTTCTCTTTTCAGGCCAGACGGCTCTCCTGAACTTGACTCGTAGATCTGACTGCCTGCTGCCTTTCCCACTTGCAAGTCTACAGTTACCTGAACTCAACTTGCACTCTTTTAAAAATTTTTTAAAATTATAATTGTGGTAAAATACATAACATATAATTTACCATCTTATCTATTTTTAAGAGTATGTTCTCTGGCATTAAGGACTGTCACATCATTGTGCAATATCACCATCATCGATCCCCAGAACTTTTACATCTTCCCAAACTGAAGCCCTGAACCCACTAAACACTACCTCCCATGCCCACTCCCCACCCCCAGTCCCCAGCAATCACTATTCTACCTTTTGTCCCTGTGATTTTAATTACTCTGTGTGGGCTTCCCTGGTGGCCCAGATGGAAGAGAATCTGCCTGCAATGCCAGGTTCAATCCCTGGGTCGGGAAGATCCCCTGGAGAAGGAAATGGCAACCCACTCCATTATCCTTGCCTGAGAAATCCCATGGGCAGAGGAGCCTGGTGGGCCACAGTCCATGGGGTCCCAAAGAGTCTGACATGACTGAGCAGCTAACAACAATACTCTCAAGGTTCATTGTATTGGAGCATGTGTCAGAATTTCCTTCCCTTTTTAAAAGACATTTATTTCCCTTTTTTTTCAACTTTTTTTTTCTGTTTGTTTCCATTTTTTGGCTGAGCCACACAGTATGTGGGATATCAATTCTCTGACTAGGGATTGAACCCTTTGCATTGTAAGCACAATCTTGACCACTTGACCACCAGAGAAGTCCTTACCTTATTAAGGCTGCCTAATATTCCATTGTTTGTATAGACCAACTGTGTTTACCCATTCATTTGTTAATGGACGCTTGGGGCATTTCCACCTTTTGCCTATTGTGAACACTACAGCTGGGTGTGCAAATGGGTATGGAAATGTCTATTTGAGTCCCTGCTTTCAGTTCTTTTGGGTATATACCCAGAAGAGGAGTTACTGAATCATATGGTATTTTCTATTTTTAATTTTTTTGAGGAACTACCATACTGTTTTCCACAGTGGCTGCCCTTTCACACCCCCACCAACACCGCACAAGTTCAGGCTTGCTCCATAGTCTTCCCCATCCCAGTTCACAGCAGCTCCATCCTCTCAGTAACCCTGCCCAAACCTCCCAGCAATCTCCATTCTCCGGTCTCACCCCGGCCTCCAACGCAGCTAGAAATCAAAAGTCTACCTTCAAAAACAGAGACCAGTCTGGCTACTTCTCACCACCTCCACCCATACCATTCATCTCTCTGGGGTCCCCTGAAACCAGAGTCTGAGACAAAGACTTGGGTGCAGGTGGCTTATTTGAGAGATGAGCCCAGGAGGGAGCAGGGACTGTGAGGACAGGAAGGAGGGAAAGCCTACAGGAGGGTTCATGCATTTCCAAGCTCACTGCTCCAGCCTACGGGGTCTCAGTTCCTCCAGGATCTCAGTTCCTCCGGGATCAGCATGTCTCCAAAAGTTGGGGAGGTGGGTCATGACTCTCACCCGCCACAGGTTGAGGGGGCCCTGGAGGCATTAACCCCCATACTTCCTGGCTGGGTGAATCCCCCAAGGGCACGGGCCTGGTCAGGTCTGTGTGACTCAGAGCTTGCAGCGCAGCCGTGGCTGAAATCACCAGGGAACAGAAGGACTGGCTACAGGGCGACCCTCTCATCTCCGGCCTGCAATAACCTGGCCCATCTCCTGTCCCTCCCCTCGGCCCTGCTGCCACCTGGGGATCCTTTAGAACCTAAGCTGGCACCACCCTCCTGCACCCTGTGGCTCCAGGGCAGCCCAGCTATTTACAGTGGCCCTCAAGCCCCTCCCCCACCTGACCCTGTGACCTCCATCCACTCCTCTCCTCCTCTTCCACTCCAGGCAGGTCGTCTGCCTGCTGTCATGTCTTAAGCCTGCCAGGCCTCTACTCTCCCTGATGGCCATTGTCACAGCCAGGGATGCTCTTCCAGCAGCCAGCCCAGGCCTCGCTTCTGCATCCCCTTCAAGGAGGCACCCTCTCCAGGAGGTCTTCCCTGACCTTCTTGTTTAAGAGAGCAGCCCACCACCCCAGTCCCACCCCCTGGCCCATCGATCCCCATTCTCCTGGTCCTGGTCCACTTTCCCCCATAGTGTCTCAACTTTTAACACTCTATGTACGCACTGTATTCTTTTCCTATGCTGTTATGCTGTTTGTGGTCTCCTTTAGAATATATGGGCTTCCCTGGTGGCTCAGAGGTTAAAGAGTCTGCCTACAATGCAGGACACCTGGGTTCGATCCCTGGGTCAGGAAGATCCCCTGGAGAAGGAACTGGCAACCTACTCTAGTCTTCTTGCCTGGAGAATGCCGTGGACGGAGGAGCCTGGTGGGCTACAGTCCACGGGGTCGCGAAGAGTCGGACACGGCTGAGTGGCTTCACTTTAGAATATATACTCCATGAGGGCAGGAAGGTTGTCAGTCTGGTTCAGCCATGGGTCTCAAGAGCCTTAAATAGTGCCTGGCACATAGTAGGTACGCAATACCTACTTGTTGTATGAAATGGACTCTGTATGTCCAGACACAGCCTTTTCGCAGCTTCTAATGTAGCAGGGAAAAGGAGACCAAGCCAGTCAATCCTAAAGGAAATCAGTCCTGAATACTCATTTGGAAAGACTGTTGCTGAAGCTGGAGCTCCAATACTTCGGTCACATGATGCAAAGAGCTGACTTATTAGAAAAGACCCTGATGTGAGAAAGATTGAAGGTAGGAGGAGAAGGGGACGACAGAGGATGAGATGGTTGGATGGCATCACCGACTTAATGGATATGAGTTTGAGCAAATTCTGGGAGATGGTGAAAGACAGGGAAGCTTGGTGTGCCGCAGTCCATGGGGCCTCAAAGAGTCGGTTACGACTGAGTGACTGAACAAGAAGAAGAACAGTGAATGCAGCAGGTGCTTCAGGATATGCTTAATGGGTTGGGAGTCCTTTTCAGAGGCTAAGAGGACAAAAGTACTTCTCTGAAAGATGCATTTTTTTTTTTTTTCTTTATTTGGCTGCACTGGGTCTTAGTTGTGGTGTGAGCTTAGTTGCAGCATGTGAGCTCTTAATTGGCAGCCTGCAGTTAGTTGCAGCTTGTGGGATCTAGTTGCCTGATCAGGGATCGAACCCATGCCCCCTGCATGGGGAGCGTGGAGTCTCAACCACTGGACCACCAGGGAAACCCTGAAAGATGCATTTTGAATGGATACAGAGAGACAGACAGTGGGAAGCAGGTTGGAGGCACCAGGCCCCCAGCTGCTGCCCGAGGGTCACCGCAGAAAAGAGAGTGATGAGCGGCAGCTGTCCACTCTGCGGCCGAAGTGGTCCCAGCACACTGACACCAGCATCCCAGCCCCCAGCATCCCATCCCCCAGCATCCCAGCCCCACATGGACGGTACTCTCGGCCCAGATGCCCACCTGGGTGCTCCGGGAACCTGGGCAGCTCGGGGCAACCCACCCATCTGGGCCTTGTGCCCTGGCTGTCTCAGTCTTTTGACCCCTCTATCCTCGACTATTCTACCGCCTAACTTGGGGGTCTAGGGTTGTCCCGGGCTGCCGAGTGTCCTCTGCAGGTCACCCCTGCCTCTCATAGGGCGGCACGTGCACAGGTGGGATCATGGAGTCTGGTGGACCTGGGTTCAAATTCCAGCTCATCATCCCCACCTGGGTAAATCACCTGGACCTCTCAGAGTCTCAGTCTCTTCATCTGTAAAATGGGGACGAAAGTGAAGTGAAAGTCGCTTCATTTGTATCTGACTCTTAATGACCGCATGGACTGTAGCCCGCTAGGCTCCTCAGTCTGTGGGATTCTCCAGGCGAGAACACTGGAGTGGGTTGCCACGCCCTTTTCCAGGGGATCTTCCCGACCCAGGGATCAAACCCACGTCTCTTATGTCTCCTGCATTGGCAGTTGGGTTCTTTACCACTAGTGCCACATGGGAAGCCCAAAATGGGGTAATACAGTTTATATCAAAGGGTGTTCTGAGTGTCAAGGAAAACACCCCATGTCAAGTGCATAGCACTGTGCCTGGTGCCGGGCCAAAGTTCCACAAACGCTGATTCCCTCCACCTCCACCCACAAAGGCTTGTCTGTGTAGAGGGACCCTGTCCTCTCACTTCACCCTGCTCGGCAGCCTCATCAACAAGCTTCTTGTGCAAACTCAAGGCTCTCTGGTCGAAGACCATGGAGGCCCGCTTCTCCAAGGCCTGCAGGATGGCGGCCAGGGCCACGGCTCCTGGCAAGCGGTCTGGAGGCTGGTAGTTGAAATACACGGGGAAGCCGGTGGTGAGGAGCACAGAATGGACATGGGACCGTGCCTGGGAAGCCCGCAGCAGCTCACCTGGACAGCTCACCAGTCTCCCCACTGCCTGAAATTACACAAAAACGAAATACAGTAAGTCCCCTACATTCGAATGTTACGGTTGCGAGCTTTCAAAGACGCGAACACATATTCCATCTGTGTCTGGCGTGAGTGACATTGCAGCCTGCCCTCCATCTCCTATTGTTAACGATCCTTTAACTCCACCATCTCCCACCTCCTCTTCCTCCTCAGTCAGTACCTCTTCTTGCCTGTTCACTCGATGCCAGCCCTTGTATGCCAGCTCTTGTACAGGACTCGTGTACGGTAAGATTAAAAATGTTTATTTTTTGTTTGTTTTTTTAATGTATTACTTGTGTGAAAAGTATTATAAACCTATTATTACAGTACAGTACTGAATAGCTGTTTGTGTTAACTGGGTACCTAGGCTAACGTTGTTGGACTTATGAACACACTCTTGGAACAGAACTTGTTCATATGTAGACTTACTGTAAAATCACAAAATCAGGCAACTGTGTTCCAAGCAGACTCTTATGTGAACTTACTCGGTTTTTTCTTCGTTTGCAAAGTGGATTTGGGGGTGGGGCAGACTCCTCCCGGTCCAGTCGAGAATGATCACTGGGTAAGGGGCCCACCAGCCTCTCTTTTAGTTAAGTGTGGCCTCGAGACCAGGATTCCCAGGTGGCCCTGGTGGTAAAGAGCCCGCCTGCTTAATGCAGGAGACAGAAGAGGTGTGGTTTTGCTCCCTGGGTTGGGGAGATGCCCTGAAGGAGGGCAGGGCAATCCACTCCATTATTCTTGCCTGGAGAATCCTCATGGACAGAGGAGCCTGGCAGGCTACAGTCCGTAGGGTCGAAAAAACTCGGACACCACCGAAGCGACTTAGCATGTATGCATGGCCTCAAGACCAGATCCTCTCCTGGAGACACTCAGAGAGCTGTGGGAAGGGGGCGTGGGTAGAGTCACGTGGCCTCCTCCCCGCCTGGACACACAAGCAGCTCCAGGCTTTCCTCCAAGCTCCCACCGCTTCCGGGGACTGGGATGTTGACAACTAGCGCCCCCTGGGGGTTTCAGGACGAGATGCAGAGCTGCTGGGTCCCGGAGTGACGGGGAATCAGATCCCCTTCCTGCCGAGCTAGAACACTCACCCTGCAGGACCCACCCTGGAGGACCCGCCCTGGACTCTTGCGTGAGAGGCACACATTTCTGCTGCGTTTGCACAAAGCCTTTTGGGAATCATTTGTTAGAGCCGTTTAGCAAACTGTGACCCAAACAGCTGGCTTCACAGGTGGCTCAGTGGAAAAGAATCCGCCTGCAATGGACAAGATGCAGGTTCACTCCCTGGGACAGGAAGACCCTCTGGAGAAGGAAACTGGCAACCCACTCCAGTATTCTTGCCTGGGAAAGTCCATGGACAGAGGAGTCTGGTGGGCTACAGTCCACAGGGTCGCAAAAGAGTCAGACACGACTGAACAACTAACCAACAACAATCCATACAGGGAACACAGAAGGAGAAGGGGAACCAGGGCTGTCTCAGCTGGGGAGTCCCCCAAACCACACCCTAAGACAAGGGCTTGAGTGCATGAATTTCAGTGGGGAGTGTGCCCAGGAAAGAAGTCAGAAGGTGGAAGAAGGTGAAAAGCTACCGAAGGATGTGTGAGTGAGTGAGTTAACTCTGAAGGCAACTGGGGCTTGATCCTGCTTGAAATCTTCCAAGAAACTGTGTGGTACCTTAGCCAGTCCATGGGGATGGTCCTGCCAGAGGACAGGGAGACAGCTGTATGCACCACCTCCATCCCTACTGGGTGAAGGCTGCCTGTCAGGGTGTGGATGCCCGGCTCTTTCGGCTGTGCCTGCCCTGCTGGAGGAGCAGAGAGGCCTGAGGCCCAGGCGGGAAGCCCATGTGCTGGGAGCACCCACTGCAGCTGCAGTGAACCCGGGGGCTCGGGCAGGGCACTAGCTGCATGTTACAGATGTCACTGTGCCTGCCAAGACAGTCCCAGAAGGCAGCACAGCCTCCAGAGGCTCATCCCACACCACGGTGCCTTTGTCTACGCTCAGGACACCTTGGGGCATATCTGTGCCATGGAAGGAGGCAATGTGATTTAGAATTACCACCCACCCCAGCAGCGGCTGATAGAAAGGGGGAGGGACCTGAGGAACCAAGCGGGCTTGCATTCAAGGTGCATGGACAACGTGGAGGAACACAGGGTGTGGATCCTGGTTATACAGGAGCAGCTCCAGGTTCAGCATCTGGAAACTCACACATTCAAGTCCAGGCACTGACGCTTCACAGCTCTGTGACCCTGGCCTCATCCCTGGGCAGCTGTTTAATCCTGGCCTCATCCCTAGACTGCTCTGAACGTCGGTTTTCCTACATGGAGCTAGAGGGTGCTCCAGGTGAAGGAAGACTGTGAGGCCAGGGCCCCCTCACATACTGCCCGAGGGAGTGGAAATGGGAACATTTTCCTGGAGGGTGATTGGTACCTTAGAGTGTACATTCCACTGGAGCCAGCAGTTCACTTCCAGGAATTTATCCTACTAAAGTGCTCATGGGTATGCAAATGTGGTCATAAAGTTGGTCTCTGCAGCACTGTTTGTGGTGTCAAACAATCTGCTATTAATAAAATGGTAGAACATTCATGAAATAGAATTCTGTGCAAACATTATGAAGGATGTTGTGGAGACTACTTAATGATAACGAAGGATGTTTAAAATATATTTAAAAGGGATAGAAGAAAGTTCTAAAATAGGATCACAGTATGATTCCACTATGGAAATGACAACTCACTCCAGTGTTCTTGCCTGGGAAATCCCCTGGACAGAGGAGCCTGGCAGGCTGGATTCCATATTCCATAGGGTCGCAAAGAGTCAGACATGACTGAGTGACTAACACACAACACACATATAAAGGATCATATTATAGGATCAAGACTGAAGAAAAAGATTTTAAGGACAAACATAAAATAATGGTTATTTAATGGTTACTATTAACAAATAATAATGTTAATAATGATTAATCGTGATGGGATCCTAGTAATCTTTGTTGCCTTGTTTCTTTCATGGTTCTGATATTCCTACAACAAACATGGATTAATGTTTCTCCCCATTGTTGATAAGTGGGGAGAAGAATATAACATTTTAAGGGAAAAAAATGGGAACATAAGCCCTTTCATAGGATGTGGTGAGCGCCAATAGAGAGAATAGGGAACTTGAACCTTCTCAGCTTGAAAGCAAACCCTCCACCTATGATGATGTTATTATTAATACAAACATCACGATGATCAACCCAGCACTTCTTCATCTCCAGACACCTCAAATGCCAGCCAACGTCCTCTCAAAAATGACTGAGTGGCTCTATTATTATGCCGAGCAACTAGGGTTCAGTACACGGCCATCAATCTTATGTCTGCTTATTTAATACAGTGGGAATCAGGAGGCTCTGTTGTTCTTGAGGATTAAAGATGTTCCTTAAAAGTCAATATTGGCACATCCGGACAGTCATTAATCTGCCTCTCCCCCGGGCCTCCCTCAAGACTTGACGCACCGTCTGCACAATCGCTGAGGGGGTTGCTGTGGATGACCTCCCAGATCATTTGTATTAAGCAGCTGGAGCACTGGGTCTGCAGTGAAATTACTTCCCAGTTACTTTTTTAAAAAAATCTGAGCCAATGGCAGAATTAGGAATACATCTTCCCTCGTGACACTTGTAGTGAGCAGGAGGGCCATCAGCTTGGATGAGAATGTTGGTGAGAGAGCAAGTGCTGCAGATTTTCTAAATGTATTCACCCAGAAGGCCAACTAGGTCAGATACTCTGTGTCTACGCAGCCACGAGCAGTCATCTCTCTGTATGCATGAGTCCTGAGAGGTGTATTTTGGGCACGTATCCCAAATTTACTGTGCTTTTGTATGTAAAGGAAACTGTGTTCTCCGCAGAATGAATGAATGAACAACCTAACAAATGGACAAGCAAAAAACTATGCCCTGTGACTTCACAGGAAGCTTTGTTATTGCAGACCCCTTGTAACTGGGGGGCAACCTTGGCTTCCAGGCCCAGAGAAGAGAGCAGACATCTTATTTTTTTGGACTTTTTTTTTTTTAATTTTTTAGTTCTACCAGTTTATTGCTACCAACCCATATCCCTCCACCCTCGTGCACACATGCTCAGTCATGTAAACCCATGGACTTCAGCTCGCCAGACTCCTCTGTCCATGGATTTTTCCAGGCAAGAATACTGGAGTGGGTTACCATTTCCTTCTCCATGGTCTTACTTTTTAAAATTTAAAGTTTATTTATTTTTAATTGGAGGGTAATTGCTTTACAATATTGGGTTGGTTTCTGCCATACATCGACATGAATCAGCCAGAGGTATACATATGTCCCCTCACTCTTGAACCTCCCTCCCACCTCCCACCCCATCCCACACCTCTAGGTTGTCACAGAGCACTGCATGTGAGCTGCCTGCAGCATACAGCAAATTTCCCCTGGCTGTCTGATTTTACATACGGTGATGTACATGTTTCAATGCTACTCTCTCAATTCATCCTACCCTCTCTTCCCCACACTGTGTCCACAAGCCTGTCCTCTAGAGAGCAGACGTTTTTAAGGCTGGCCTGCACTGTCAGATTCTGGGCAAGTGCTGGCCAACAGCAAAGGGCACTCTGGCTGACCACTCCACAGCCCGGCACAGGCATGGTCTCTCTAAGTGGCTGCCACCCTAACATCACCATGGTCGGCTCTGCCTGGGTCCTGGGAGCCTGGCCCGGACGATCAAATTCCCCAGCTGGCTTCACCACTCTGCTCTCCACAGGGCCCTCGTCACCATCAAACATGTATCTGTTCAGGAAACAGGTGTCAGGTGGGCCAGCAGGGAGGTCACCAGTGCCTTCTCCAAACATTCAAAGTGCAAAGAACTCACAGTTCTGGAACCACAGCCCACCAGAAGGTACAGAAGAGGAAATGAGGTGTGAGCCAAGAGGATTCGTGTCACTGCCCAGGCGAGACTGTGACACGGCATTTAGACTTAGATTCCAATGTTGTTGCTCTTTAGTCGCTGAGTTGGGTCCAACTCTTTGAGACCCCATGAACTGTAGCATGCCAGGCTTCCCTGTCCTTCAGTATCTCCCAGAGTTTGCTCAAACTCATGTCCATTGAGTCGGTGATGCTGTCGAAGCATTTCATCCTCTGCCGCCCTTTTTTCCTTTTGCTTTCAATCTTTCCCAGCATCAGGGTCTTTTCCAATGAGTCAGCTCTTTGTATCAGTTGGCCAAAGTATTGGAGCTTCAGCTTCAGGACCAGTCCTTCCAATGAATATTCAGGACTGATTTCCTTTAGGATTGACTGGTTTGGTCTCCTTGCAGTCCAAGCGACTCTCAAGAATCTTCTCCACCACAGTTCAAAAGCATCTACTCTTTGGTGTTCAGCTTTCTTTATGGTCCAACTCTCACATTCATACATGACTACTGGAAAAACCATAGCTTTGACTAGATGGACCTTTGTTGGCAAAAGGATGTCTTTGCTTTTTAATATGCAATATTCGATACCTATTGATCATGGGCCTTGGAGTCAGTGGGCATGGGTTCAAGTTCTGCCTCAGCCATCTAGGTATGTGGACTTGGATAAATTTATTAGCCTTATATGCCTTAGTCTCCTCATCTGTTAAAGGAGGTTAATAATAGCTGCCTCATCAAGTCACTGGGACAGTATAATAAGTTGAAACATGTAAATACTTTAAGCATATGCCTGGCCTAGAGTGAAACTCATTAGATGATACCTATTATTCTTATTGCCTATTACAACCTCAAGAAGGAGGAATAATTTTCATTACCCCTGTTACACTGATGAGGAAGCAGGTGGGGAGTGGCTGTGAAGTCCACACCTTCTTTCTTTCCTGAGCTTTTGCCAGCAAAACAGATTGAATTTTTCTATGCACAATGGTGCCCTCTCCTGGCCATCTTGGATTAGCAATTCAGCTCTTAAATGAAGATGCTGCTGGGAGTTCAAAGCCCCTCAACCAGCTCTTAGCAAACCTCCTCCTAACTGGAACCAGCAGACCCCTATTGGACTCCACCAATGCTATATCATGTCTAGAAAGTCAGAAGTTTTCAAAGGAATGTCCTCCGAGGCACCATAAAACAATATACATGTTGGCTGCAAATTGTTATAAGGCTGTCTCTGTAGGGTCCTGCCCCACCAGGATCCCCCAAAGAGAAGAAACTCAACCCTCCAGCCCTGTCTTAGCTGCTTGGTACACAAAATCTGGACTATATCCAACCCCAGAAAAGGGCATAAAAGATAAAGATTAGGGACATTATTATATAACTGATGACACTGGGTAAACTGTGGCAGTTGACTATGTAGGAAACATTTCTCCCCTTTTCCTCCTTATTCAACCCCAATTTAGTTCTGGATGGGAATGTGCCCACCTCTTAAACTCTCTTATATGTTTAGTGTTGAAAATTTGGAGAAAATCAAAAGAGAAAAGCAAAAGTCATCCACAATCACAATCACCACCATTAGTATTTTGGTGCATTTACCTCTTTGCAGGATTCATACATAATATTAGCATTTAAAAAAGTCATACTGTAAATAGAGTTTGCAGGCTGCTTTCCCCCCTGAACATTACAACATTGATGAATTTCTCTAGGTCTTTGAGGTATAACTTCTTGGTTTCTGTTTTTTTTTTTAATTTAAATATTTTAATTGGAGGATAATTGCTTTACAAGATTATGCTGGTTTCTGCCGTACAACATGAATCAGCCGTAGGAATACATGTGTCCCCTCCCTCTCGCACCTCCCTCCCACCTCCCACCTCATCCCACCCTCTAGATTGTCACAGAGCCCCGGATTTGAGCTTCCTGTGTCCTATAGCAAATTTCCACTGGCTGTCTAACCTTACACATGGTAATACATGTGTTTCAACACTACTCGCTCAATTTTGTCCCACACTCTCCTTCCCTGTCTGTGTCCACAAGTGTGTTCTCTACGTCTGCGGGTGTGACTGGTTTGTTACCTGGGTCGATGGCACTTATCACCTTCAGTTCGCTGATTCTCTGAATGGCTGAAGCTGATGCCGTGCTGTGGTGCAAAGGATCCTGGGAAAATGTGATGGATCTCTGGAATTCCCTCAGGGATGAGACGTCTGGCTGGAGCTGCTGCGCCCTTCAGGCCGGTCGTAACTGTGCAACCGTGGCGCGCGGGTGAAAGCCAGTGGGGTCTCTAAAGCACACAACAGGAGCGACTGAGCCCAGACCACTTCATCAAACGTGTCCGTTCCATCGAGTTGATGGGAAAAGATGGCACCCCTGCCTGGACTCAGCCGTTAGCACTCCTTACACCACTTAGGGGCACCAGGGCAGAACAAGTTGGCTTATGGCTAAATCAAGTTCCATTTTAACAGGGGACCCCAAGTTTCAGGAAAGTGATGGTATGTTAAGTGTGGGGAAAGAAATGAGGTACCCACCGCCACAGCTGGGGTTCTAGGGGCTCTAGGATTCCAATGCAATCCCATGGACATCAGAAAGGACCTGCTGAACACTTACAATGCATCAAGCAACCTAACTTTACTTTGCAGCAGATGTTAGGTTTGCTAACAGATAGGTTTCTCTAGGGGCTTCCGCAGTGGCTCAGTGGGAAAGAATCCACCTGCAGTGTAGGAGTCGCAGGAGATGTGGGTTCGATCCCTGGGTCGGGAAGATCCCCTGGAAGAGGGCATGGCAACCCACTCTAGTATTCTTACCTGGAGAATCCCCATGGAGAGAGAAGCCTGGTGGGCTACAGTCCATAGGGTCACAAAGAGTTGGACACGACTGAAATGACTTAGCACACACACATGCAACTCTCTCTGAACACAGCTTCTATTTTTCTCATATTCCATATATTTTGCTTTGGTTTATCCCAATTTTGTGCTTTTTAAAACTCTTCCCTACTAGATCCCCGGCAGTGTGATGCACTGTAGTGTAGCTATTAAGAACATGGCTTGAGCGTGGCAAACACACTTGAGCTTGAGATGTGACTTTGGCCTCTCTAAACCTGCCTCCTTAACTATAAAATGATAATGCCTCATATGGTTGTTTCAAGAACTGGAAAATGCACGTGCAAGTGTTTAACAAAGCACTTGGTCTAATGTAAGCCCTCAGTAAGCGATGGTTTGCATCGCTGAACCAGGTGCTGTATCTTATTCATTCTCGTGTCCTTGACCCTGGCCCGTGAGATGCTTGATCCTCACTATACTTCATTTAGACCTTCTGCTTTCTTTGCTGTCATTATTATCCTTGAGTACTCCATCTCAACTCCGCTGTGTGTTTTCAGGGAAGAGGGACCATTGTCTTTTCATCTCACAAGTGCACAAAGTAAGTGCTCCGTGAATGCAGATATGAACTGAGTAAGTAACAGCATTCTGGGTCTCACAGAAAACAGTAAAATTTCTCAGACCTGACAGAAAGCCGAAGTCACGCAACTTCAGAAGGAAAACCTATTGACAGACCCATCAAGTGTTCTAACTTAGTTTTTAGCCTTGATGTAAAGGATAAGAACTAAGGATTTTGATGAATCCAATCATTGGTTTTGTGTGCTTTGGACAGAACCTGAAATTGGTCACTCTAAAGCCATCACACATTAGAACAATTAGTTCAGAGTGTGACACTGGGTTTTGATCCATCAGTTGTGAGATGTGTACCACTTAATCTGTTGCTAATAAAAGTTTAAATACTGAAGTTTGAGCAGGATTTTTCCTGAAAGTCCCTTGAACAGCAAGATCAAACTAGCCAATTCTAAAGGCAATCAACCCTGAATATTCACTGGAAGGACTGATGTTGAAGCTGAAACTCCAATACTTTGGCCACCTGATGCCAAGAACTGACTCATTGGAAAAGACCCTGATCCTGGGAAAGATTGAAGGCAGGAGGAGAAAGGGACAACAGAGGATGAGATTGTTGTATGGCATCACCGACTCAGCAGTCATGAGTTTGAGCAAATTCCCGGAGATAGTGGAGTATAGGGAAGCCTGGAGTGCTGCAGTCCAAGAGGTCGCAAAGAGTCAGACACGACTTAGCGCCTGAACATCATCAGACAGATTCAAGGTGATCCCTGACCAATGATGTCATTTGTTCTCATTTACAATCAATTGAAGTCCTGATGGCTCAGACGGTAAAGCATCTGCCTACAATGCAGGAGACCCGGGTTCAGTCCCTGAGTAGGGAAGGTCTCCTGGAGAAGGAAATGGCAACCCACTCCAGTATTCTTGCCTGGAAAATCCCATGGACAGAGGAACCTGGTAGGCTACAGTCCCTGGGGTTGCAAAGAGTGGGACATGACTGAGAGACTTCACTTTCAGTTTCATGCTACTGAAAGCCAGAACTGAAGTGTTACCATGTGCTGGGATCCTGGCAGCAGTGAGAGCCCTTCTGCAGGGCATTCCCCTGGCAGGGGGAAGGGGAGGGCTGAGACCAACATGTGGGAGGATATTTATTTACTGCCACTGGGCGGATGAGTGTACACACATGAGTACACACTCGGAAATGACCACAAGCTCTCTGAGGACTACATCCTGTCTCCTGCAGCTTCTTATTCCTAAGATCTGTGCCCAGAGTAGGTTTCCAATACATTTACATGAAATAAACAAATGAATAGAATCCTGTGGATCTTGGTGTTTATGCCTCATCACCATTTAGAGATAATCTTCCCCTCTCATGAGGTCATCCGGATAGCCAAGCTTCCATGAATGCTTGAAAAAAGAAACTGAAAATAGCACTAAATTCTATTTGTAATGCAAGCCAGGCTGACCTGGCTAGAATTTTTGTCTGTCTATGACAATGGGCTGCAACAGTTATTTTCAAGGTTTCCGTCACATCCCTAACTGTGTGCTAGCTAGGGCGCCCTCGTGTGTCACTTTATTGTAATATCACCCTCAGCCTTCGAAAAAATGGACTGACAAGTATCTGACAAATACCATGTGAAATGCTTCGTTCGAGTTGCTTGCCTTCACCTTGGCTTTCAAAGCTCCACCAACCTCCAAAAATGTCTCCAAAGGTCAAGCAACACTTTGGTCCTTCTGTCAGAATGGGCTGTGAGCCTTTGCTGATAGATATATACCAGAAACTAATATGATATTGTATGGGGCTGGCCAAAAAGTTTGTGTTCGGTTCTGTAAGATGGCATGAAAAACCCAAACAAACTTTTTGGCCAACCCAATAAATCAACTATAATTCAATTTAAAAAAAGAAAAAAACCCATATTTGAGCTGAAAGTCAAGCTCCTATGGTGGGGCCCAGCACTGGAATGAGAAGAATGAAAACAGATCTTCATTGTGGGCTGCATTCCTGTGTTTTATGACTTTATTTCTTAATTCACTGCTGTGCTTAGCCACTCCGTCGTGTCTAACCTTTTGCGACCCCATGGAATGCAGCCCATCAGGCTCCTCTGTCCATGGGATTCTCCAGGCAAGAATACTGGAGTGGGTTGCCATTCCCCTCTCCAGGGGATCTTCCCTACCCACCAATCGAACTCAGGCCTCCTGCATTGCAGGCTAGATTCTTCACCACCTGGGCCACCAGGGCACCCCCTTAAGTCATTGCTCCATAAGCCTTATTCACTCAGGAACTGGAGACCCACCCAATTCTCTCCCAGGTCAGAGTGACAGCCCTCTTAAGCCCAGACATAATGCAGCTGCCGACAGCTTCAAGACTGGTCAGCTGAGAAGGCCAGAACACTGGAACATGCCCAGGCTGACACACCACAACCTCCCCGTAGTCAGGTTTGGAAAGATCTCTGATGCCCAGCAGTTCTTCTGATGGAAAAAGAAAGTGAATCCCACGGGGTTTTGTACTGGCTGGTACAATCCAATTTGGACCCACTGAGTAGTTTATGGTTCTTTCTCCAAGAGGAACTCTAGTCACAGAATTGCTATAAATTGTATTGGAAAAGGATGGGGAGGACGCCAGAAGTCAGGTCTTTAACAGCCCAAGATGCGTGCTGACTTCGAATCCATTTTAAGAATAGCTGTTACTGTAGCCCGCCAGGCTCCTCTGTCCCTGGGATTCTCCAGGCAAGAATACTGGAGTGGGTTGCCATTCCCTTCTCCAGGGGATCTTCCTGACCCAGGGATCGAATCCGGGTGTCCCACAATGCAGGCAGATTCTTTACCATCTGAGCCTCCAGGGAAGCCCCAGTTTCAGAGCATGAAATCTTTAACGCCTAGTGTGATTTCTGGGGCAGACTTGGGGGCAGTTTTTTCTCAGCATTGCTTTCATACAGACTGCTAACAAAGCCAGCGATTTTGAGTTTATCTTGCTACAGACTATCACATGACCCAGACAGAAACTCCGTGGCTTGACCACCAACAGTGTCCCTACCAATGGCTGGCCATCAGTGCTCATAAAGGACAGCAAAGATGGGTGTGTTGGATACCATGCATCCACTAATGATAAAACAACTCAGCAGACCCTTTGCTTTGGGTAGTCCTGAGACCATCTTTCTGTGAGCAAGTTGGCAAGTGCCAACTGCATTTTTCCAGAACGCGGGCCTTGTCTGATTTTGTCTCTTATGCAGCTGAGTGAGTTCAATTATGCTGAACTCTGACTCACCCGAGGCCCAAATCCAGCGCTCTCATCAGGCCTCTGAGAGCCTCCAAGAGGCCTGGGAAGATTCCACGCTTGGATCTGTTGTTCACTTGCTGTCAGATTGAGTTAATACACTGGGGATCAATGGCTTTCAGTTCAAGTTAACATTTGGAAGGAGCCACCCCCTGCTCAAATACACCATCAAACAATAGCCTAGGTTAGTGGTTACTATGATTTCAAATCTCCAGACAAACAGCTCAGCTGACATTCCCTACCACCTGCTTCCCCTACTCCAGCTTCATTTGACGTTCACAGGGACTAATGGATGAGGCTGGCTCTACAACCAAGGGCATCGCCTTCAAACCTGAAGGGCATCTGCAAGCCCAGCCCTAGTACCACTGCTGGAATCTGGGTCTTGTCCAGGATCTTAACTCCTGAGACCTCTGGGAAAGATGAGGACAAATCAGGGGAACTCAGGAACACAGCAAGTTCCTGTCTTCTTGGGCTGGAGTCCAAGTGCAGCTGTCAGAACCATGAATGAGAGTGGACATTGACCTGGGTTGCCACTGTGAATGGGTTGTCCTTGCTCACCCCTGCATGGACCAAGTGGCCTGCACCAGCCTTCCCAGCTTGTCCTTGGGAGCGGGCATCATTGTGATCACAAGAGGGCAGCAAAAGCCAGGGATGATGGCACAAGACACAGCTGTCTTCCAAGAAATCAAGTGAAATAAATGTAAAAAAAAAAAAAGAATTAGCATAGATCAAAACCCTCAGCACTGAGTTCAAGGCAGCAGAAGGAAGAAGTCCAAGAAGCTATCAACGAGAACACAGTTTCTACTTTTATGTGATGTAGAGATGAGGAAGATTGCTGGTAATTATCTGTCTAAAACAGAATCTTAACATTGTATGTGCCCTGGACCCCTTTGGTAGTCTAATGCAGCTATGGAAGTCATATTTTGAACTGCATAAAAGGAAATGCATAAGATTACAAAGGAAATCAATTACATTGCAAGTGCAGTTATCAAATTATGAAAAAAACTGATATGGCAATTTGTATGTGTCTTCATTAGCAACTCAAGGAACAAAATGGTAGACCTCTGCCTGGAATTTTGAGGTAGTGATCAGCGTGTAGGATATTTCTGCGATATCAGGAAGGAACTTCAGTGTGACATGAAAATGCTTGATTTCTCTGGACAGCCACAAAATCACCAGGTCTGCTGACCCATGCAGCGTTTTCACTGCATTCATAATGAAAGGGAAAGCTCAATTTTAGTTTGGGGCTATGAAAATTAAAAAGCAAATTTTCTTCCCACCCAATTTAATGGAAAGCTTGGCAGAACTTTTCAAAGGCCAGAGCAAGGGGCCTGGGCAGGACCATCACACTGGCTGGCTAGAGCCCTGGGTTTGCTGAGAAAAGGGAAGAATGCAGTCTATTCCTTCTTTGTAGAGCCTTTACAATTCAACTTTTTATTGAAGCATAACACACACACAGAAAAATGCACCTACATGTACAGCTTAATGAACTTTCATGAGATGAACAGACCTGTGGAACCAGCATCCTGATCAAGACACAGAGTGTTACCATCATCCCAGGATCCTGCCCCCCCATGCCCCTTACAGTCAGCCCCCTCCACAGCCCTCATAAGGGTGACCACTACCCTGACTTCTAACACCACAGATCATGTTTGTCTGTTCTTCTTAAGTGTTCTTCCTGGGAATCATATGGTATGTGTCTTTTGAGGCTACCTCTCTTTGCTCACCAATAGCGGGTTCATTCTCGCTGATGTGTGGTACACTCCTTGTTGTTCAGTTGCTCAGTCCTGTCCAACTCTTTGAGACCCCATGGACTGCAGCACACCAGGCTTCCCTGTCCTTCACCACCTCCCGCAGTTTGCTCAAACTCATGTCCATGGAGTAGGTGACGTCATCCAACCACCTCATCCTCTGTCGTCCCCTTCTCTTGTTACCTTGAATCTTTCCCAGCATGAGGGTCTTTTCCAGTGAGTCAGCTCTTTGCATCAGGTGGCTGAAGTATTGGAGCTTCAGCTTCAGCATCAGTCCTTCCAGCGAATATTCAGGGTTGATTTTCTTTAGGTACACTTATTACCACACTGCTTTTATCCAAACCCATTGCTGATGGACACTGGAATCCTTTGCAGCGCAGGGTTGTTACCAATGGTGCCACCAAAAACACTTTAGTACATGCATTTTGGGCACACACATGCTCAATGCTGTTTGGCACACACCTACGATTGCTCAGCTTTGGTGAAAAGTGAAAGTGAAGTCGCTCAGTCGTGTCCGACTCTTTGTGACCCCATGGACTGTAGCCTACCAGGCTCCTCCGTCCAAGGGATTCTCCAGGCAAGAGTACTGGAGTGGGTTGCCATTTCCTTCTCCAGGGGATCTTCCCAACCCAGGGATCAAATTCAGGTCTCCCACACTGTAGGCAGACACTTTACCATCTGAGCCAATACTGCTAAGCAGATTCCAAAGTGGTTGTGATACTGACCAGAGTTCTTGGTCTTCCCCAGTCAACAGAAATTGATAAGAGGCCAGACCAAGACACTCAGGAAAGGCTTTATTGGTGTTCCTGTGGTTGCAGGAGAGAGCGAAAACAAGTAATAGGTCCCTTGGCTCGCTCCCTGAGGCTGGGTGAGCTGGTTTCTTATATGGGGTGAGGGTAGGGGTGTGTCCAGGGGTCGGGCAGGACAGTGGCTTCAGTGTTTAGCCCACGTCTTTATGGTGTTGACTGCAGGGGGCATGTGCAGTACCCTGCTTTTGCTCCTGACGCACAATTTTTGCTCCCAGCTCTTTAGAAGTGGCAGCTGGGTGTTTTGGTCTTTTATTGTATTTTTTTGCCCAGAATTTACCCCAGCTGCACATGCACACAGTAGTTTTTAATCCTGTGTAGTTTCTTTGCATGTTGTTGCTTGAGGAGATGTTTGTCCGGGTACAAGCAGTCCAGCACTACAGCACCAGGTCCCAGGTCCCAGTCTGTCTGTTTCACGGACTGACATACCCAACAGGGGAGTGTGAGCTCTTGGTTGCTCCGTATCCTCTTCAACACTTGGTATTGCCTGCCTTTTTCATTTCAGCCTTTCCAGTGGCATCAAATGGTGATTTTAATTTGCATTGCTCCGATGAGTAATACAAATGAGTGCCTTTTTGTATGTTTTATTGCCCATTTGGGTATCCTTTTTGGGAAAGAGACGGTTCACATGTTTTGTTTGGGCAGGTTCTTAATCGAGCAGGCTCAAAGAATCCAAAGAGATAGTTTTAGAGGAAGATCACACTGCCATACCTACCACTTGCAGGCCACATTCTCCTCTGGGGGCAACCAGCTCCTCTCTGGAAAGGGAAGTCCTTTGGGTCTGGAGGCAAACAAACCGGGTTTGAATCCCTATTCTGCCTCTGACCAGTGCTATGACCCCAGGTTTGCTTTTGCCATGGATGAGATAATAGTGATCACACATACCTCAAAGAGAACTCTGTGAGTCCTTTCCTATATGTGAATTACCCAACACATGGGTGCTCAGGAAGGAGGGGTTGGAGTTACATTCATCCAGTGAATCTTGTGAGGACATTTAAAATTATTGTATAAGGATTTTCCTGGGGGTCTAGTGGTTTCAATGAAGGGGACTCAGGTTTGATCCCCACTCAGGGAACTAAGATCCCATATGCCACATGGCACGGCCAATAAAATAAAATAAGATTATGGTAAAGAAGAAATATTTAATGATATTAAAAGATGTTTGGGATGTATCATTAAAGGAACATTACTAGGTAGGAAAATAGTATTCTCAGCATATTCTTCTTTTTAAAGAAGATAAAAGAAAGAACTAGAAGGATATCCATTTTATTGCCATATAGTTGTTCACAATAGTCTCTTATAATCCTTTGTATTTCTGTATTGTCTGTTGTAACCTCTCCTTTTTGACTTCTAATTTTGTTGATTTGATTCTCCTTTTTTTGTTGATGAGTCTGGCTAAAGGTTTGTCAATTTTGCTTATCTTCTCAAAGAACCAGCACTTAGTTTTATTAATCTTACTATAATTTCTTTCATTTCTTTTTCATCTATTTCTGCTCGGATCTTTATGATTTCTCTCCTTCTACTAATTTTGGTTTTTTTTTGTTCTTCTTTTTCCAGCTGTTTTAGGTGTAAAGTTAAGTTGTTTATTCGATGTTTTTCTTGTTTCTTGAGATAGGATTGTACTGCTATAAACTTCCCTCTTAGAACTGTTTTTGCTGTATCCCATAGGTTTTGAGTTGTCGTGTTTTCATTGTCATTTGCTTCTAGAAATTTTTTCATTTCCATTTCGATTTCTTCAGTAACCTGTTGGTTACTTAGAAATGTATTGTTAATCTCCATGCGCTTGTGTTTCTTACAGTTTTTTTCCCCCTGTAATTGATATCTAGTCTCATAGCATTGTGGTTGGAGAAGATGCTTGATATGATTTCAATTTTCTTAAATTTACTGAGGTTTGATTTGTGACCCAAGATGTGATTTATCCTGGAGAATGTTCCATGTGCACTTGAGAAGAAAGTGTATTCTTCTGCATTTGGATGGAATGTCCTGAAGATATTAATGAGATCCATCTCATCTAATGTATCATTTAAGACATTCCTTATAAATTTTCTGTTTTGATGATCTGTCCATTGGTTTGAGTGGGGTGTTAAAGTCTCCTACTATTATTCTGTTACTGTCAATTTCTCCTGTTATATCTGTAATGTTTGTCTTATGTTTTGAGGTACTATGTTGAGTGCATAGATATTTACAATTGTTATGTCTTCCTCTTGGATTGATCCCTTGATCATTATGTAGTGTCCTTCCTTATTTCTTGTAATCGTCTTTATTTTAAGGTCTATTTTGTCTGATATGAGGATTGCTACTCCAGCTTTCTTTTGCTTCCCACTTGAATGGAATATATTTTTCCATCCTCTCACTTTCAGTCTATATGTGTCTTTAGGTCTGAAGTGGGTTTCTTGTAGACAGCATATATATGGGTCTTGTTTTTGTATCCATTCAGCTAGTCTGTGTCTTTTGGTTGGAGCATTTAATCCATTTACATTTAAAGTAATTATTGACATACATGTTCTTATTGCCATTTTCTTAATTGTTTGGGGTTGATTTTGTAGATCTTTTTTCTTCTCTTGTATTTCTTGACTATATAAGTCCATTTAACATTTGTTGTAAAGCTGGTTTGGTGGTACTGAATTCTCTTAACTTTTGCTTGTCTGAAAAGCTTTTTATTTCTGGGTACAGTAATCTTGGTTGTTGATGTTTCCCTTTCAGTACTTTAAATATATCCTGCCATTCCCTTCTGGCCTGCAGAGTTTCTACTAAAAAATCAGTTGTTAAATTGGTAATAAAATGGATAACCTGGAAGAAATAGACAGATTCTTAGAAAAGTTCAATCTCCCAAGACTGAACTAGGAAGAAATAGAAATTATGCACAACCCAATTACAAGCACTGAAATTTAATCAGTGATAAAAAATCTCCCAAAAAACAAAAGCCCAGGACCAGATGGCTTCACAGGAGAAATCTATCAAATATTTAGAGAAAAGTTAATGTCTATCCTTCTAAAACTCTTTCAAACAATTGCAGAGGAAGGAACACTTCCAAACTCATTCTACGAGGCCCCCATCATTCCGATACCAAAACCAGACAAAGACAACACAAAAAAAGAAAACTAAGGCCAGTATCACTGATGAAATAGATGCAAAAATCCTCAACAAAATTTTAGCAAACAGAGTTTAGCAACACATCAAAAAGCTCATACATCATGATCAAGTTGGGTTTATTCCAGGGATGCAAGGATTCTTCAGTATAGGCAAATCAATCAATGTGATACACCATATTAACAAATTGAAAGATAAAAACCAAATGATAATCTCAATACATGCAGAAAAAGCCTTTGACAAAATTCAACACCCATTTATGATTAAAAAATGGGCATAACAACAAAGGAAACTATAAGCAAGGTGAAAAGACAGCCCTCAGATTGGGAGAAAATAATAGCAAACGAAGCAACAGACAAAGGATTAATCTCAAAAATATACAAGCAACTCCTCCAGCTCAACTCCAGAAAAATAAATGACCCAATCAAAAAATGGGCCAAAGAACTGAACAGACATTTCTCCAAGGAAGACATACAGATGGCTAACAAACACATGAAAAGATGCTCAACATCACTCATTATCAGAGAAATGCAAATCAAAACCACAATGAGGTACCATTTCACGCTAGTCAGGATGGCTGCTATCCAAAAGTCTACAAGCAATAAATGCTGGAGAGGGTGTGGAGAAAGGGGAACCCTCTTACACTGTTGGTGGGAATGCAAATTAGTATAGCCACTATGGAAAACAGTGTGGAGATTTCTTAAAAAGCTGGAAATAGAACTGCCATATGACCCAGCAATCCCACTTCTGGGCATACACACCGAGGAAACCAGATCTGAAAGAGACACATGCACCCCAATGTTCATCGCAGCACTGTTTATAATAGCCAGGACATGGAAGCAACCTAGATGCCCATCAGCAGACGAATGGATGAGGAAGCTGTGGTACATATACACCATGGAATATTACTCAGCCATTAAAAAGAATTCATTTGAATCAGTTCTAATGAGATGGATGAAACTGGAGCCCATTATACAGAGCGAAGTAAGCCAGAAAGATAAAGACCATTACAGTATACTAACACATATATATGGAATTTAGAAAGATGGTAACGATAACCCTATATGCAAAACAGAAAAAGAGACTCAGATGTAT